GTGGGGCCTGAACTCTGGGCCTGGGCGCTGCCCCTCAGCTCTTCAGCTCAAGGCTAGCGCTCTACCACTTGAGCCACAGCGCCACTTCCGGCTTTTTTTCTTTTTGCTTATGTGGTACTGAGGAATCGAACCCAGAGCCTCAGGCATGGAAGGCAAGCACTCTACCACTGAGCCACCTTCCCAGCCCAAGGGAAAAAGATTTTTTAAAAGTAGAAAATCTGAGTAGGGAATGTGGCTGAGTGGTAGAATGCTTGCCTAGCATGCATGAAGCCCTGGGTTCGATTCTCAGTACCACATAAACAGAAAAAGCTGGAAGCGATGCTGTGGCTCAAGTGGTAGAGTGCTAGTCTTGAGCAAATGAAGCTCAGGGACAGTGCCCAGGCCCTGGGTTCAAGGCCAAAAAAAAAAAAAGTAGAAAGTCTGATACTCTTAAGGGATAAATACAAAGCTGCAATGCCTATGTGCCTCTGATCATATAAAATTGTATTGGGGCTGGGAATGTGGCTTTGTGGTAGAGTGCTTGCCTTGCATGCATGAAGCCCTGGGTTTGATTCCTCAGTATCACATAAACAGAAAAAGCTGGAAGTGTTGCTGTGGGTCAAATGGTAGAGTGCTAGCCTTGAGCAAAAGCAGCTCAGGGACAGTGCCCAAGCTCTGAGTTCAAGATCTAGGACTGGCAAAAATAAATAAAATGATATTTAACAAAATGAGCTTCAGGAAATGGAAATCAGGTGTTTTTTTTTGTTTGTTTGTTTTTTCTCCTTAGGGAAGGTAAGGGGGGGCACAGAAATGAAGGGACAAAGGGTGAACAAATGCAACAGTGGTACTCACTAGACACTGTTGAAAATGAACTAAATAACTTGTGATTGGGGATGGGAGGGAAATACTGGGAGAATGTGAGGGAAGTGGTGATACTGTCCAAAAAGAAATGTACTCATAGTTAGGGCCAGTGGTTCATGCCTATAATCTTAGCTACTCATGAGGCTGAGATCTAAAGACACGATTTGAAGCCACCTTGGGCAAGAAAGTCTCTAAGACTTTTATCTCCAATTAACTATCAGAAAACCGAAGTGGCACTGTGGCTCAAAGTGGTAGACCACTAGCCTTGAGTGGAAAAACTAACCTCAGGGACAGGGCTCAGGCCCCTCTGTACATCACCTTTATAATAAAAATTAAAAACAACAAATTCCAGGATTTCATTTCTGCTGTTGACTAGTAGGTCTGAGTTGGCTGCTACCGCTTTATGTTTAAAATATACCATAGATAATTCTGCTGGTCTTGGGAACTGAAACAATTTATATGGACACACTAAGGATGGCTCAGAAAGCTTCAAGACTGAGGATGTAGGCCAGTTTAGTCTGGGGATTGGTCAGAAGAGGAGGAGGCAAGATTTGCCTCTGAGTTTGTTCTTAATAAGTGGGAATGTAACCGAGGTAGAGAAAGGAAGGGACAGGCAGGTAGATAAAACACCTTAATGCTACTTATAAATCCAGACAATTATGGGAGAAAAGGGTTTGGGGGGAATAGGAAGTGAAGTGGAGAGCATTGTCAGCTATGAGGCCAAAAAGGTAAAAAGAGCCAATTATATTGAAACTTTTTTTTTTTTTTTTGGTTAGTTGGGCTTGAACTCTGGGTTGGGCGCTGTCCTTGCCCTCTTCAGCTCAAGGCTAGTGCTCTACCTCTTGAGCTACAGCACCACTTCCGGTTTTCTAATGGTTTATTGGAGATAGGAGTCTCAGGCCTTTCCTGCCCTGGCCTCAGATTTCAGCCTCCTGAGTAGCTAGGATTACAGGCATGAGCCACTGGTGCCCAACTGAAGCTTTTTTATGTATAATACTAGAAACTTTATTTTGTTAGGGTTGAAGATTCTTTTTTTTTTTTTTTTTGGGTCCGGTCATGGGGCCCGAACTCTGGTCCTGGTCCTGGGCGCTGTCCCTCAGCTCTTCAGTTCAAGGCTAGCACTCTACCACTTGAGCCACAGTGCCACTTCCGGCTTTTTTTTCTTTTTATGTGGTGCTGAGGAATTGAACCCAGGACCTCAGGCATGCAAGACAAGCGCTCTACCACTGAGCCACCTTCCCAGCCCAGGGTTGAAGATTCTTAAGGCAGGGAAGTGATGTGAAAATGTGAGTTTGGAAAGATGATTCTAAATGGGCACCATTGGCTCATACCTATAATCCTAGCTACTCAGACTGAAATCTGAGAATCTTCAGAATGCTGAGATCTGATAATCTCCCTTCAAAGCTATCCCCAGCAGACAAATTCCAGAGACTCTTTATTTCCAGTTAACCAGCAGAAAGCCAAAAGTAGAGGTATGGCTCAAGTGGTAGTATGCCAGACTTGAGCATAAAAGCTAAGCAAGAAGGAGCTTGAGGTCTTGAGTTCAAGCCCTGATACCAGCACACAAAAAAAAGGAAAGATGGTAAAAGTGAAAGGACAGCCAAGAGAACAAAGCCTGACCTAAGAAGGATGGATGATTTATCCAATTAGTGCGAACCACCAAGACTAGTCTGGTTAAAGAGTTCCTTTTCTGGCCGGGCGCTGGTGGCTCACGCCTGTAATCCTAGCTACTCAGGAGGCTGAGATCTGAGGATCGTGGTTCAAAGCCAGCCCGGGCAGGAGAGACCGTGAGACTCCTATCTCCAATAAACCACCAGAAAAACCGGAAGTGGCGCTGTAGCTCAAGTGGTAGAGCGATTGCCTTGAGCTGAAGAGCTGAGGGACAGTGCCCAGGCCCAGAGTTCAAGCCCCACGGCCGACAAAAAAATAAAGAGTTCCTTTTCTGTTAAGGAACCCATTAACAAATCTGAATAGAAGCCTTATGCAGGTAACACATACCTGTCATCCTAGCTACTCAGGAAGCTAAGATCTGAGGGTCATGGTGGTTCCAAGCTAGCCTGGGCAGGACAATTTGTGAGCTCTTATCACAAATTAACCACCAAAAAGCTGTGAGTAGATCTGTGGCTGAAATGGTAGGGTACCAGCCTTGAGCAGAACTTGAGCAAGAAAGCTAAGGGACATTGCCCAGGCCTTGAGTTCAAGCTCCTATACTAGCACCACAGAAGAACCATAAAACAAAAAACAGCAATAAAACTTGTCTCTTGTAAGCAAATAGCTATTAGAATATGTGTTTATGTGTGTGTGCATTCAAGATATGTATACTAAGGTTGTTTTAACTTCTGAGTTTTACATTTGTTAAAAAAAAATTCAGGCTGGGTGTTGGTGACTCAAGTGTGTAATCCTAGCTACTCAGGAGACTGAGATCTGAGGATTGCACTTCAAAGCCAGCCCATGCAGGAAAGTCCTTGAGACTCTTATCTCTAATAAACCACCTGAAAACCAGAAGTGGTGCTGTGGCTCAAGTGGTAGAGCACTAGCCTTGAGCTTAAGAGCTCTGGGACAGCACCCAGGCCCAGAGTTCAAGGCCCACGACCGACCCTCCCCCCCAAAAATAATCAAATATTTTACCTAAAGCTAGTTAAAAGTCAGAGCTACACTAGAACCAAATTTTACAACTCTCAGTCTGGGGGCTGGGAAGGTAGCTCATTGGTAGAGTGCTTGCCTTGCCTGCATTAGGCCTGGTATTCGATTCCTTAATACCACATAAGCAGGAAAAGCTGGAAGTGGTGCTCTGGCTCAAGTGGTAGAGTGCTAGCCTTGAGCTGAAGAGCTGAGGGACAGCATCCAGGCCCAGAGTTAAGGCCCACAACGGACAATAAAACAACAAAAAAAACTACAACTCTCAGTCTGGCATTCTTCAGTTGACTAAGGTATATGCATGCTATTAAAGAGCTTCTAGTATTGGACCAGAAATAATTTTTAGTCTATGCTTCTTAAACATTTAGGCAAGAGTTTAACAAGGAACTTTGCCTTGGGAGTGAGTTTTGTTGTAATCATTCTGGCTTAAGAAATTTGTACTGGTGTACAAGACACTATGTTGAAAAATGAACTTTACAATTTAGGCGGGGGTGGGGAGGTGGAGGGTGGGGAAAGTAGTTGTGGAGATGGGAGGAAAGGGCTGATAGGGGAAAAACAAAGGAGGAGGTAACAATGCTTGATAGGAAATGTACTCATTGCCTTGCTCATGTAACTAACCCCTCTACAGTATTTTTACAATAAAACTTATTTAAAAAATTGTATCAGTATTGATAGAAAATAGTGATTTTTTGTTTTTGTTTTTTTTACCCAAACACCTGTTTTAGGCTTTTGGGATTGGTTTCCTTATGTGAATTAAGGCAAAAATATATACATGATCACTATTTTTGTATATTTCTAGTGACTCCAAATTATGGACTCAGAATAAGCAATTAGTAAAGGAATGTGGCTGTAAGTGATACTGGCTTTGAATCAATATAAATCAGCAAGGGGATTCAGAGAATTGAATTGTAGCCTTCTCTGGTTGGGAGGTTGGCTCTCAGCTAAAGAAATGTCAGGTTGCAAACCATTCTCATAATGAGAAACAGTACCCAGAAGCTATTCTGGCCCCTGTCTTCCTCCAGTCTAGCAGTGCACTGTCCTTGTGAAACTACTGCCAACTCAGCTCTTTTGCTGCTTTTCAGAACTGATTATACCCTGATCCTGGGAGTGCTTTTTCTTTTCTTGTCCCTATGAGCCTCCAACTTGGAAAGAATGTCCTTACAGTGACCCTTGTAGGCAGAATATATTTATAATGGTCATCCTCATTATGCCACATAGCTATCATATACCAAGGTGGGTATTATCCCATACTGTGTATGTTTTTTCCTAACTTGTCCTTTAATCCTGACTGCTCCATTAAAAAACATTCCATGAATTTATTTTTTAAAGACTTGTTGTGAGGTTTCCAAGGTCATCACAGATCTTGTGTGTTTGATAACTATAGAAGTGGTATGTTAATGGATCTTCCTTCCCTTCTCAGGTAACATGCATTTCACAGTGGCCTTCTGGAGACAACGCCTTAATCCAAAAAAGTGACTTGAGCAGAGAACTTCAGGTATGGTGACATTCTTGTTAAAGAGATTTGGAGATAGGATGGTACAAAGGGCAAACCCAGGTCACATAACTGCTGTGGGAATGTGGGAAAAGAGGAGTTTTGATTCTGGCTGCATCAATTGATTGAATAAATAGGCAGTATATACTTAGATTTGAAACCTGTAGTCTCTTCTTCAAGGATTAATTTGTGAACCACACTGTATCTTAATTTGGGTCCTCTGATTTTTTTTAAATCAGGGAATCATTTTATAAGTTCGTTATACATACACAAATATTTTTTTCACTTGTGCTGGTTTGTAAATATCTCTGTAAATTTGTTCAGACTTCTGCATATGGATGGCATTAACAAGTAGAATTAAAAGGAAGGCAGCAGCAGGTGCTGGTGGCTCAGACCTATAATCCTAGCTACTTTGGAGGCTGAGATCTGAGAATCAAGGTTCAATGCAGGCATCAAAGAAACTTACCTTTAACCAGCAAAAAGCTGGAAGTAGTAGTATAGTTTAAGTGGTAGAGTACCAGTCTTGAGTGAAAAAGTGAAAAACCCTGAGATCAATCCCTGGTACCAAAAACAGGGGGGAGGGAAGGAGGGGAAAGATGGTATATTCTGCAGTAAAAAACAAGACAATTTTTCCTTTTTTTTTTTTTTTTCATTTTCTTTTTGTGGCTGTGGGACTTGACTCAGGACCTGGGTGCTGTTTCTGAGCTCAGTTTGTTCAAGGCTAGCACTCTACCATTTTAAGCCACAGCAACACTTCCAATTTTTTGGTGGCTAATTGGAAATAAGAGTCTCACAGAATTTCTTGCCCAGGCTGGCTTTGAACTGGGATTTCAGATCTCAGCCTTCTAAATAGCTAGGATTACAAGTGTGAACCACCAGCACAGCTTTTCCTCCCTCCTTCGGTCTCTCCCTCCCTCCCTTCCTTCCTTCCTTTCTTCCTCCCTCCCTCCCTTTCCATTTTCCCCTTTCCCCTCCTTTCCTTTCTTTCCCCCCTTCCCTTTCTTTTCCTTTCCTTTCCCTCCTTGCCCTCTTTCCCTCCCTTCCTTTCCTCCCTCCCTCCCTCCCTCTCTCCCTCCCTCTCTGTTTCTCTTTTTTGTTTCTTTGTTTCTTCCTTCCTTCCTTTCCTTCCCTCTTTCCCTCTTTCCCCCTTTCCCCTTCTCTCTTTAGTTTGTTCATTCGTTCTTCCTTTTTTCTTGGTCCTGGGCTTGAATTCAGGTCCTGGGCTCTGTCCCAGAGCCTCTGTGCCAGTGCCACTTCTGGCTTTTTCTGTTTATGTATTACTGAGGAATTGAACCCAGGGTTTCATGTATGCTAAGCAAGCACTCTACCACTAAGCCACATTCCTAGCCAAGCTTTTAATTTCTTTTTTCTTTTTTTTTGTTTTGTTGTTGTGGGTGCTGTCCCTGAGCTCTTCAGCTCAAGGCTGTTGTTGTTCTACCACTTGAGCCACAGTGCCACTTCCAGTTTTCTGGTAGTTAATTGGAGATAAGAGTCTTATGGACTTTTCTGCCTGGGCTGGTTTTTTTTTTTGGGTCCGGTCGTGGGGCCTGAACTCTGGGCCTGGGCGCTGTCCCTCAGCTCTTCAGCTCAAGGCTAACACTCTACCACTTGAGCCACAACGCCACTTCCGGCTTTTTATTTCCGGCTTATGTGGTGCTGAGGAATCGAACCTAGGGCCTCATGCATGCAAAGCAAGCACTCTACCACTGAGCCACCTTCCCAGCTCCTGACTCAATACTTTTTTAGAGCTTTGTTGACATCAAAATGTTGGACTATGTATCAGAAGCAAAATACTCCCTAATATCCAGTGCTATATAAATATGAAGCCATGTTCTTTTAGTTTTTGCTTTAACCAAAAAGACTTATAGGAAGCTAGGTACTTGTGGCTCAAGCTTGTAATCCTAGCTAACTAGGAGGCTGAGCTCTGGGGTGCTCTGTTTGAACTAGCCTAGGCAGATAATTTATCTCCAGTTAAGCAAGAAGTAGCTGCATGGCTAGAGCATTAGCCTTGAGTGCAAAAGCTATGGGACAGCACCCAGGCCCTGAATTTAAACCTCAGTACAGGCATGCACTCAAAAAAGACTTGTAGAAAACTTAAGTGTGTGTGTGTGTGTGTGTGTGTATGTTAAGTTTGTAATATTATTCAACAAGTATTTATTGAACTGCTGTTGTGCTGGCCCCAAAGGGTATTTGTTTTAAGTATTTTGTGTTTTTTTGTCAAGAAAACAAATTTGCTTGCCTGTAATCGTATTAAACAAGTGACAAGATAGAATGGCATAAAAGAAAAGTGCATGGTATTACAATGTAAAGTATTTCAGGTTTCTTGGTGCCATTAGTATAACTGACTGTAGCAGAGAATTATGACCAAAAAGCAATTCCTGATGGATGTGATGATGTACACCTGTAATTCCAATATTTGGGAAGGATATATAAGTTTAAGGTATGGCCTATATAGCCAGATCCTGTCTCAAAAACAAACAAAAAATAATCCTGGCTCTTAAACTTGTAATTTTTTTTTTCATATCTAGATACTTCTTACCTTGTAGTTACAATATTCTACCCCAGGAAAGAAGAAACATTTTCTTTTTCTTTTCTTTCTTTCTTTTTTTTTTTTTTTTTTGGGTCTGGTCATGCGGCCTGAACTCTGGGCCTGGGCGCTGTCCTTCTGCTCTTCAACTCCAGGCTAGTGCTCTACCACTTGAGCCACAGTGCCACTTCCGAGTTTTTCTGCTTATGTGGTGCTGAGAAATCGAACCCAGGGCTTCATGTGTGCAAGGCAAGCACTCTACCACTGAGCCACCTTCCCCATCTGTAATCTATTTTTGTTCTATTTTGTTTGTGTTGTTTGAAGTATGAGACTTTTTTTTTTTTTGGTCCGGTCGTGGGGCCTGAACTCTGGGCCTGGGCACTGTCCCTCAGCTCTTCAGCTCAAGGCTAGCACTCTACCACTTGAGCCACAGCGCCACTTCCGGTTTTTTTCTTTTTTCCTTATGTGATGCTGAGGAATTGAACCCAGGGCCTCATGCATGCGAGGCAAACACTCTACCACTGAGCCAACTCCCCAGCCAACTCCAGGTGTATTTCTTTCTTTGGAATATTTTTATTCTCTTATTTTTTGGATTCAGTCAAAGTAAGTGACCTCACTCATTAAAATAATCATGGGCGGGTTGCTTGTGGCTCACGCCTGTAATCCTAGCTACCAGGAGGCTGAGATCTGAGGATCACAGTTCAACTCTAGTTGGTCCGTGAGGATCAACAAGGGAAAGAGAATGAGAAAATGGCCTGTGTGCAGGAAGCACTTGAAACAGAGCTGGAGCTCCACAAGTTATCTATACAGTTGTTGGTTTCAGAAAAATTCAGTTTACAATCTGCCTGGCCCACATACATGTAGCAGGTGGCCAATGAAAGAGAACTAGAGGAAGTGGGGGAAAAAAAAGAAAAAAAAAGAACTGGAGCACAAAGGTCTTGCTAGCCGCCTGCAGGCTTTACAACAGCATGTTGCAGAGCTAGAGATGACATTGTTTGCAGTTTCTACCACTCAGATTGCGACAGACGAGAACATTCTAGACCTCATTAAAGACCTGAATAACATAGAACTGCAACTTCAGGAAAAGACCAGAAGCTATGATGAGCTGGAGGAAGAGAACATCAAGCTGCAGGAGAGGCTGGAAGTGAGCCTGACATCAAGATAATTCATGAGTTACTACAGCACTAGTGAAGTGGGCAGAGTTGGAAAGACAACTAGACAACATGAAAGAGTTGGTGACAACATTAAAGTTGGAGAGAGACACCTTTGCGGAGGACCTGAGGGTAGATTTCAGGTGGAATGAGGTCCAGTAGTTCTTGGAGCAGATGAACTAGCTGAGAGGTGAAAGAGCAAGGGGTGAGGCAGAGACCAACCTGGTGGAACTGAGAAAGCAGCTGTCAGAGCTACTACCTCCATAACCCCTGCAGGGCCATCTCAGGTGGAACAGCAGTTGTAGGCCCAGACCTACCAGTTGCTGAAGGAGCTAAGCAACCTGGAGCAGCAGGAGTAACTTTGGATGCTGGAGAAGGCGGAGGAATGGAATCAGCATGCCAAAGATGGACACAAGATCCTTGAGAAAATGGAAAAGGAACATGGGAGCATGAGATGCAAACTCATACAACTAAGAGCTGAAAGATCAGCTGGCCAGCTGCAGGATGCCCTCCTCCATAGGCTGAGCAGTAAGAAGGAGGAGCTCGCCAGTGTCCTGCGCTTGGAGCAGCAGGTGAAGAAACATCTGCAGGAGAAACTGGACCAGTGAGAGGACAACTTAGGAGAATGGAAAGAGATAGCTGAGTAAAAGAGCCAAGCTCAGAATTTTCAGGAGCAGTGTGACCAGTACTTGGCCCAGCTACCAGAGCTCAGAGCCATCTGTGAACAGCACATGACCTCCAATCAGCAGCAGAACTCAAGGAGGCCCTGCAGCAGTCCCTGCTGAGGCACACCCAGTTGTTGGAGCAGCTGAAGCAGGAGCAGGTGCAGAGTAAGTTGGGAACCTGACTGTGTCTTGAAAGTTCCAGGACATACTGAAGTGCCTGGAGGCAGCAGTACATGAGAATGGGCACCTGTGGGCCCAGCCCCAGCTGAGCTTTCAGGCTTTCCCTAGGGAAGATGAAGGAGTGAGCAAAGAAGAAAAGGAAGTGACACTACCTGATGTGACTGTCCCAGAGGACGTAGACAACCCACAAACCATGTGGGATTTTTACCTTGAATTGCTATCAGTTGCTGAATCAAAGAAGATGAAGCTCAGCCAGCAGTTGCAGGAGCAGCAGGTCAGCTGCAGATGCCTGGCCAACCTGGCAGTCAAATGCCAGAGAAAGCTGGTACTCTGGGCCCTCTTCCCCAAGGGCTAAAACCATTGGCATGTTTGTGGACAATCCTGTCCACAGATGCCCAAGAAGAAGCTGAAAATCTGCTGCATCCATGACCTGTCTAATAAGGTGAACTACCAGAATCAAGTGGATGAACTCCACATCAT